TCTCTGGATAAGCAGTATCAAGTATTGCTTTGAATATTGAGCAATTAGATGATAGAAAGCTCTTCCACAAGGCCAATATAATGGTCTCTGGTTCACATACAGCTATCAACAGTGCTTTGGTGCTCTGTTCCCTTCTGCTTTATTAACCCTGGCCCTGTGGGCATTGAGCAATGACCCAAAAGATATCTGTGCTGCACGTACAGTGCATTCTGCTGGCCACTTCTACACAGCAAGAGAACAGAACAGATTTCCAAAGCTGAGGATTTGTACTTCCAAACACATTTGAAACGTCAGCATTATGCCTGCAAACATCCACTGCGCATGCATGGCTATTTGGGCAAGAAATGGGCATTTGCTTGCACTAACCTAAATGGGGACAATTTGCCTCTTTACAATGGCTGTAGCTCCAGCAGCTATAGGAATATCCAGCAGGAATATTCTGCACCCTCCCTGACAACTTTTATCTGCAATGAGGTCTTAACTCATTCATAAAGTGACTCTCAGTGAGACACCATCCTTCCTTCAGGTGAAATCTAGGTGATCTGTGTTTTCTCTTTGTGCAAGTGAGCAGGATGTTTCCTAAAGCAGGGATTGAGGGAATGGTGTGGAAAAGAGCTGTCTGATGGGATAGGGCACACACTCTTGTGCAGAAAAGCTTATTCAGTATCATGCAATGGGCTTTATTTTTACTTCTGAAGGCTTCTCTGGGGCTTTGTTGGCTATAGGACAGCAACATAAGAGCAATATGTTACTCATCCAAAGCTACCTGGCACGATTACCTCAAGAAAGAATAGAGCAGTGCATAAATACAGCACAGAGGGAAGTGATGACAGCAGCCACATTTCAAATAGGTTAATCTCTGTTTAAATGGTGTTTTGATGAAGAAAGATTAAATGATGTGCTGGAAGTGGTTCAGAATGACTAATAAGAGAATTCACAGTTAGAAGTGATAGGAGAGGAAATATCAGAAGGGATATAAACCATCAGGCATCCTCACACTGGTGGATTGTGAGGATAAAAATTTGCTGATTGGCAAAAGTTATCACTTTTGGCTGTATTTTTAATCATCCTCGGAGATGTTTCAGCCCATTGGAACTGTCTCCAGAGGATCCAGAGAGGAAAACTGTGGCCCAGAAGTGTCTTGCAGCAGCTCCAGGCGATGGCTGTGTGAATGAGTTGGCCTGAGATAAATTGGGGCTGGTTTCTGGCTTGTCTGCTCCTGCCCAGTGACAGCCCAACTGCCCACTATGGGACTGCAGAGGGTGGAAGCAGCTTCCCTTGTTTTCATGGCCAAGGAAGAGCACTGACGTTTGTCCAAGGGTGCATCCAACTGCAGACAGGCAGCTCCTTGCAGGATGGCAGTCACCATGTGTTGTTTGTGTAGCTGTAAAACAGGAGGGAACAGCAAGCACGTCAGAGCCCCATTGATTTGGCAGGGGAGCTGAGATTTTCAATTACATGATGAGTACTAACTTTGTGTTGCAACTCTATGTGTACTTCTTCATGGATTTTCCAGTATTTATTAGGCCCCTTAGGCTGGGTACAAGTCATATTAGTGACATATAATAATAATTAGTTCTGGTTTACAGAAAATAACACCAGAGCAGAAAAATGATCTGGCAGGTGCTTAGCTTAGGGCTAGAACAAAATCCATTCCCAGCAGCTCTCTAATGAAGCTATATTGCCATAGCCCTTGAGATGATGACACTTCAGCTGTTGTTCAGCTGAATACCCTGGGGTCACTGTCCACTTCAACCGGTAAAGCTCAGCCCATTTTAGTGGGATATGGAAGAATTTGCCCTAAGGCTTCTTCTTTACTCTGTGAGATTGTGCTACACCCATGTCCCTGGGCAGTACCATGGTGGTACTGCAAGACCTTGGAGATACCGCAGCGCTAGGAAGACAGGACCCATCAGCTCGAACCAAGCCATGCGCCAATGCTGCAGGGACCACACAAAACATCTTCTGGCAGAGATTTTGATCCTTCATCCCTATGGCATTGGACACGCAAATGAAAATACCAATAGCAGGAAAACATCCAGCAAGAGAGACAAGAGGTTTCCATGAACTTTTCAGTTCAATTACTGTACTTTAAGCCCTATCCAAAATCTAATGGATCAATGGGAATCCTTCCAGTAACCTCAGCTGCGGTCTTATAAGGTTTTAATTAATGTCCTATTTGTTGTGATTATGCATGCTCCTCTCTCAGTACCACTTGGGGTTGTGCCTCCAGAAAAGAATTAAGCAAACGAGGCTCCTTGGTCAACGCTCTGCAAATGGCAACAAGTTAAGTCATTTGGGAGGGATTTGATAGCAAAGGTTTGTCTCCAACTGTCAAAAAGATTTCTATTATAAATGGAGGGAGAAAAAGCCATTTTGAGCCTGTTTATGGCTGAGTTCCAGCTGTATTAGGTTTAAGGCTAATTTTCTGATGAGAGGTAGACATTTATTGTGAAGACTGGAAATGTCTTACGATGAAGTAGCTGTTGGAGTTAATGTGAGTGTTTGGCATCAGACTGCAAACTCAGCTGGCTCAGAGCATGCTCTAGTGTAAAGGCTCAGGCTTCTCCTGTGCTTACCTTTTTCCCTTTGGGCAAGTGTCAGTGCGGTGGTGTACCAATCCCTCATTCTCCAGGTTTCCTGTGTCTCTCAAGGAATCTGTCCCATGCTGCTTATTAGCTCAGAGAATCCTCCCTTTGCTCTCCAGCATCCATCCCATGGCCCATCCTCAGCAGCCACTGTGTTCCCTAAAAAAGCAGACAGGGTTTTAATGACCAGCCAGCCAAGAGAGGCTGGTATTGAGTGGCAGCTTGTGGGTGCTCATGTACCTGTTTGCACCCACAAATCCCTGCCTTGCACTAGAAAATAACTGGGTTTGAAACCACAGAGCAGCAGAGGCAAGGACAGGGCTGTGGTCAGGGCTGAGCTGAAAAAGCAGTGCCCATCCTGGAGAACATCAACTGGTTTATGACTGACTCCCTTTGGGCTGCTTTTAGTGATGTGGGAATAGAAACAATAGTATGTATTCTGTAGGAGTGTGTATGTGTCTGTGTGTGTGTACACCCAGAGACAGGCACATTCAGAAACAAACCACAGAACACATTGCAATGCTTGAACACACTCCAATGTGTCTATGGACATCTTGTTCTCCTTCTGTCCTTGAGGTATCGGGTTTCCTTGTTTACAGTCTGCCTCATTCAGGATCTGGAATTCCTAAAGAGCAGCAAAACACTATCATGTGACTGAAGACTTATTTCCAGGAAAAGCGGAAGAGGTTCTAGGAAAGGTCAGTTCTCACTTGCTCCCGTCAGGAATACCGAGTGAAAGAGATGGAGCCAATGTGAAATCTCTGATCATTTGTCTCTCTTGTGCCTGGGATGAGATCTAAAGGAAAATCCGATGCTTGATGCAGAGTTCCTCATGTTTTATTCCCTCTTTAGTGGGTTATTGACACACAACGTTTCACACAGTAGCAGGATTCCTGCCTCCTGGTATGTCAGCCTTCTTAGATGCTGCGTTCATGGTTCCTGCCACTCTCAAGGTATTCCTGGTCCTGGATGAGATGGAGTCTGAAGGATGAGCAAGGCTGAAGCCTGCTGCTGACAAGCTTTGTTTAGCAATGGATGGAAGATGATGGGTGTGATGGAATGAAGTGCTAGACAATGTGATGGAAATCCCTAGCTACCTATCCAATGGAAGACTGGGAGAAGCTCATAGGGTTGTCTTGTTAAGAGCATGGTAGATGTCTGATGGCTGCCCTGTCCTGCAAGGCCTATTGCTGCTATGAGGGAGGGACATGGTGTGAGGGACACTGGGAATTCATGGAGACCTGCTGCTGAATCTCTCCTGAAGGCTGCAGCTACTGCTTCCATCCTTCTCACCTTGCTGGCGGCAGCAGGAGAGCCCTTAGGTGATGATAGATCTTGAATCTTGTTCTGATAACATCATGGTCAACAGCAGAAAACCCCATTGTCTGAATTGTTGCCCTGCAGCGCTGTGTCTTTGTGCTTTGAGGTGCTGGGTTTCCTGCTCTAGCTCCAACAAGAGCATGTGAAAACATGCTGAAGTGTTAGCAAGAATCCTGCAAAATACTCACGTGCTTAAGCCCTTCCTTAGATCCAGGCTCAAACTCTCAGCCCCAGGCAGGACCAAGCCTATGATGATTCTCTATTTCTGCACCAATCTGCTGGAAAATCTGCGTTTAGAGCTTTCCTCAGGCATCCTCCAATGAGGAACCTACTCAGACGTCCAAACAGGTCACCCACACAAAGTCCTGTTGTGCTGTATCAGCATCGCAAGAGTCAAGGGTGAAGTTGCAGGGGTTTAACTATCAACAAAAAAGCAGTAAACACACTGCAGCTCTATTGCCATGTGAGAGCTACTTTAGACTCCATTGACTACTCCAATGCAAATCAATGTTGGCTTATGGAGCAAATACAGAATTTGGAGAAGGAAAGAGGGGTCTTAAAGGTTACCACCAGAGATCAGCCATGGGCTGATCCTTGTTTTGAGCAGTTATGCCTTTGGACTCATAACATCCTGCAGCAACCAGACTCATGGGTCCATGAGGCTCAGTGTGAGATATACTGTGTGCTTGTTTGAAAGCTATGTACTAGTATAATGAAGCATTTAGCACTTCTGCATGTTCTCCCTTGCTTAAGTGACAACATCAGGCAGTTGTTCCCCAGGTTCAAGTCCCTTGTATCAGTCAGGCAGTGCAGAGGCACACTCTGGTTCCTGTCAACGTGCAGTCATCTGGCCACTGGACTCTGTGTAGAGGAGTGACTTCGAAGAGAAAGCCCTGGACCAGAAAAGCCCTACCCCAGAAGGTGCCTGCCTTACCCTATTGTGTTGGAGTTTGTACTGAGGGAAGTCTTGGACCATGCAGTCTATTTGCTAATAACCAGAAGGCTTACGTGCTGCCAGGCTGCAATGCCGTGTCAGTTTGAATCAACAAGGCTGACTTTTACTTTCCTGCGATCTCACCTGAGCTGCTATCAGCTTGGATCCAGCCTGGTGGATCAATGAAAGCCCTGACGCTCTACAGACTTGTTTTCCAGTGGCATTGATAAACCAGTGTTGCAAGATCCTCAGCTCAGACTGGGCCTGGCTAACTGATGGTTGTGAAACTTCCAACGGCGACAAGGGGGGGGGGGAAGGCAAAAAAAGAGCAAAAAAACCCCATTCTCCCTGTGTTGCAATTGTGAGTGCAATCAGTTGCAAACAATACTTCTTTCACTGGATGCTCGGGTTTGTTTTAGTTGGGTTCATGGGAAGTATTTTCTCTATATTCAGCCTGATGTGTCTGACCTGAGGGTTAAACCAAAGAAATGTGCTTGCAGGAAAGTTGTGAATGCAGGATTCTGCCATGGCAGCCCAAGTTCTGCCTTCAGCTAATACCGTTTGTCTCAGGATTGTGACTGCGTTGAGCAGTGGGACAGGGGAATGGAAGAACATCTGTAAGCTAAAAACCAAGCAGTGAGAATCACCAGGATTGGAAGTACTTGATTAATGAGCAATGCTTTAATGAAGATATTTGCTGTGAAACAGCTCCAGGGGCCGCACTGGTGCTTCAAAGCATTCTTCCTCATCTGCTTGGGCAGCGATGGTTTTGGCTGTTCTGTGCCATAGATAAATGAGAGGATGCAGATGACCCTATTCCCCTTGCTGAGCATTTCAGCAGCCTGCTTTGGCTCAAAGTGTAGGTTAGTGCCTGAAACATGAAGATCCTGTGTTTAATTTGATCTGATTCCCACAGCAACCTACTGAAGTATCCCTGTATCATGTTCAGGTGTTAAACTGCCCACCGATACCCAAGTCAGAGCCTAGTGAGTATTCAGGGATGGTGGCTGGATTATGGCAGAGCAGCGAAGCTCAAGTCTTGGGCTGTGAAGGTGATGTATAGGCAGGCAGTTCCTACTTCAGTCAGCCTGGCCAGAGCTCAGCAGGACTTTCCCAGGACAATCCCTTAAGTAAATTCAGAGGAAGGGGAAAAAGGGGGAGAATCCACACAATTTGCACCTTGGAGTTAAGGGAATCAGCATAGGTCTAGGGAATTCTGCTCCAGCTCTCTGCACTTCGAAGAATGGATTTGCAATGAGATTTCAAGCCTCCAGAAATGCCCCACGAATACAGACCAGAACAAAAATAATCTAATCCAATCTAATTTCACTTTTTTACTGTGAAATGGCCATAAAACAACTAAGACATTTTTTACTTCTTTTAGATGTTGCAGTATCAGGTCATGCATGCTGTCCCCTATAGGGACACTGTTCCTTAGTGGAATTACCATTTAACTGAACCACAGTATGTTGCAAGAGGAAATCCTTGTTAATGACAGCTCCAACCAGGAGAAGCCTTGTGAATATTTTTACTAGGATCAGTGTAACAACAATAGGAATATCCCATGCTATGAGGATCATTAAACCTCATCCACTGCAGAATTGCTATTGCGGGTGACCTTTCTTTCAGTGAGGGCAAAGTGTAGCACAGAACAGGCTCTTGAGTTAGCTTACCTGTGCCTCAGTGGGCCTGTCTTCAGTGATCTTTCATATGAATGCAAGGAGGAACTAAGATGATGCCCCATCTGAATCTGAAAGGACAAGGACAAAGCCCTTCATACCTTTAGATGCAGTAAATAGTGTTGCATGTGCAGTATAACAGCTACTGAGAGCAGAGCTTAACACCTCAGTTTTCCATTTTGCCTTGACTAGTATCTTGATCATCAGACTCCTGTATTTGTAACTGATGTGACATTGGACTCTGAATAGAAAGACTAATGCCAAGAGAAAGTACAGTCATTTCTGACCCAGCATTTTAATCAATAAAAAACAATTCTAAAATGACTGACACTGCACCAGCTGGGTCAAGAGTCTGATCCCTCTGTACTTAAGATACTGCTTTGAACCATAAAAATCAAATGAGGTCACGTATGTAGCAAGGGGCATGAGTAAAGGCATCACAATCTGACACGTGTCTTTGGTGAAGCGCATTGAAGTCCTCCAAAGGGAGGTGCAACAGAAGGGGGAAGTGTTAATAGTTCCTTTGACTTTTTATGACTCCTGTTTTGCACAGAGTTATCATGTGCTGTTGTTTTGAACTTCACTCGTGTTTGTTCTGTTTCCTAGATCTGCCTCTGTGATGGCCACTCCCAGAGTATTCAGCCCTGAGGATATTCATGTCTGGACTGATGAAGCTGAGCTTTATTCCCAGCTTCTCACTGAGAATATGGACGATTTTCTTCTCCTTGCATTTTCCCCAAAGCCTTCCTAGTTTAAAGCTCAGTGGGTTCGCTCTGGCTGCTTTGGTGTCAGCTCTTTGATGTAATCTGCACATATTCTATTACTTCCAGATTCCCCAAAACCCCACGTGGTATGTGCCAGACTTCCTGTTGCCTGGAGTTTTGTATACAGGCATACACAAGGTCTGTGTTTAAATTCTAAGCCAGATGTACCATGTCTGGATTCCAGTGAACCAAGAAGTTCTGATGACACTCTAGACATAGACTATGGCAAAAAGCATTTACACCAGCGAGAGCTGAATCTGCAGCACGTGGTGGTGTTGAGACCAAGGTACTAATCCCTGACACTGGGTTTGCTTTTTTCAGTGGGTACAATACCAGGTCTGTGTTAGGCTACTGCAGATGGTTTGTGGCTACCCAGTGTGAGTACCTCTGTATTATACCTCCCCACATTGCCCATTTTGGGCGCAGAAATGTCTTGGGATGCTCTTCTTGTTAAGGGGTACCCAAGGCATTGTTCCGAGTTCAGCTTTGTTTCTCTTCTCCTTTAATGAATGGTCACAGAATGATATTTTAGTTCTGAAAAGAGAATCATTTAAACTCCACAAGTCAAATGTAGACTGTGCTCTGCACAAAGCAGTGTCAGGCAGTGAGGAGGTCTAGGGTTATGAAAATAACCATTCAACACCATTGACTTCTTGAGTTCCTGCAGAGTCAGGGCTAACCTACCTCCCCACCAAAGCACTGATGGCTGGCAAGGGCAGGAGCAGCCCATGTTTGGATGTATGAAGCCTCCATGTTACGAAAACATCCCCAAAACAATACAGAGGGGAAAATAGTGTTTCAAAACTGGAGCCCAAAGGAAAAGCACATTGACATTAAACAAAAGACTGATTTTCTTCTCCCGTAGAGAGGTGCCTGCCACTTACTCGAGCTGGCAAGGCAGCGTCTCAAAGGGCGATTTAACCAAGTTGCATAAGGCCTTGGCTGGGTGGCTGCAGGGCCTCTTATCTGAGTGCTGGCCACAGCTGCTGCAGATCTTGAAGGAATTATCTCTGTGCCTGTCAAACATCTGCTTCGTAAGCAAACAGCAAGGCTGAAACGTTAGCGGTGCGCGTGATGCACTGCAGCTCATGGGGCAGAGCCAGAGGCAGCGCATGGGAGTTTTTCTTCTCACTGGCATCAGAAACCTGATGTCCCAGGAGACTTTGATGGATGGATAGGCCCTAATCCCTCTGTGTTATATAGACCTGAGCCTTGTCATAGAAAAATAGCCAATGTGGTCCAAGCACTGATCTCAGTGCCTTCGGTAAGCTATAAATCATCTACATTTCTCATGAATATTCTGGCACGTAGCCTACAGAACTGCATTTATTGTCTCTCTCACCACCCAGGAATTGTTCCATATAAACGTGGGTAGACCCAAAAGGGCTGATGCTAAAATCAGGATGTGCATTGGATCCCTTTGAATTTAAATATCTTCTTGCTTTTCTGTCTTCCCTCCCTTAGTCATCACTATATTTTTCCTCTCCAATACAGTCACAGTGCTTCCTCTGTGACCAAGCTAGCTGCTTTTCTGTATCTCTGGTTGTCTCTCCCTTGCCAACACCCCCACACACACATAATAAATACCTGGCCACAGGGAGTACAGGATGACTGTGTATTGGGTAACCAGAATACTTTGTCTTCTCTTATTGTGTGGTTCTTATACTCCCACCAGTCCCACGAAACCCCTTGATAACTGCCCATTGCTGTGACTCTGCACATTGATCTGCATGTGCTCTGTGTGCAACATTAACCTTCACATTCCCAGGAAATAGAAGGATATATTCTAAATATGAGGACTGCTGCTTTATCAAAAACTGCTAAAGAGAAGTGTGAATGGATGAGCAACCAGATGAATGAGTATAAAAGGTTGCCCTGAGGTCTCTCTCACCTGTTTTTCCCCTGGCAAAGAGCTCTAGGTGTTCCTGCACTGTGTTCCTGAGCTGTTTATCCACGTCTTTTTGACAATGTCTTAGTACAAAGTGACATAGCTTCACATTTTCTTTATGTGTCTAATCAAACGCAAACAGTTCGGATTGCCCAACTGAACTCCGAGCCAGCAGGTAACTACAGTTCAAAGGCCCTTTTACTCAGTTAACAGGTTGGACAGCATTTCCTCCACACCCCTCAAACAAAGGGATGGTGTAACACCTAACAGAACTCTCCTGGCAAAATCTCTGCTTCTAGAGTGAGCTCTTAGGCCAAGTGCCTGAGGCCCCAGGTCTTGAAGGACGCCTCTAGGCTGGGTGGAGAATCAGTGCATGACATTCATGTTCAGCTGGAAAAGGTGGGAATTCATCCACTTCAGGCTATTCCCAGCTGGAAACTCACAAAGCAGTATCACCTTGCAGTGAAGACAATCTCATTGAGGATTACTAATTAATTTTCATCTCAGTTATGTTGCTGCAATTTTTATCTCATTATTGTCAATGACACTGGGCAGAGGAGGTGTTAAAATAAAGGAAGATTGTGTTTCTAGGTACAGCTTAACACTATAAAGCAAGGAGAGTGGGTTTTGTTCCAAACTTTGCTATAGATCTGGGTTGCTCAACATACCTTTGCCTCAGGGCTTTTAATCTACAAAGTGGTGTGAGCAGTTACACTTAGCTGTGAATCTAAAATCATTGCTATATTTAAACTGCTTTTTCTGGAAGATAGTGCTGGTGCAGAAATAACACTGCAGTGCAGGTGGGTTGGCTCTACTTGTCATAGGAGAGATCACCCCCAAGTGTCTGCTCAGATGCTGTATTCTGAGATTCACATAGGTAATTTGGGGCTCATCATTCATGTGGATGTCTTGATGGAGGTGGCATTTGGCTGGACACGTGTCCTATTGTCTGAATGAAACCTGAATCTTCAAAGGAAGGGGAGCAGCAGGGAAGGGACTGAGCCACGGCTGCCTGTGAGATACGGGGCTCATCAGCTCTGGGGTTCAAACCCAATACACATAATAGAACTCACCAGGCTTTCTTGCTGTCTGGCAGCCAGTTGGGAACTTGCGTGTATTAAATTGGTGGATTTTGCTATCAAGTTACAGGACAACCGACTCGATCAGCTCTAAGGACAAACTGGGAACAGTGAAGAAAACTGTGAATAAACTACATCAACCCAGCGCAGCGGTTTGATGCTTTAAAGGAGTGATGCCTGTGAGAGGAATTGTCGGTCTTATAACTGCCTTTTGACACAGGAAAGATAGACTTTACAGCAGATGAATACCAAGACTTCTCTTTGGGAAATCTTCTCCCAGCATTGTGGTCCTTTCCATGAAACAGGATCATCGGGAAAACTCACAGTTCTAACCTCACATTTTCTTTGGTTGGTGTGAGATGTCAACCTTCCTGTGTGAAAAAGGTTCCTTTCACATTCATCCTCACAGAAAAGATGGATGCAAGTACAAGGGAGAGGTAAAGGGATGGTTTGCCAGCATGGCCGGTGACTACTGGATGTGCAGTGGTATTGTAAAACCTGCGCTAATCATGTGCAAGCTTCAGAAGAACCTGGAGTCCTAACACTGTTCTCTGGCCTTGTATCACCCCATGGATTTCAACCTGATGTTATGGCTCAGCTGTGGCAGTTTTACAGCAGCCATGGTTTCTTGTGTACTCTAAAAGCACAAGCTCTGGCATATCTGAAATACCCTGCTCATGTGAAAACAGACCTGAAGGCACGTTGTGATCAACCAGGAGGTCTGAGTTCCTCTCCCTGAGGTGAGCTCTCATTTCCCCCCAGGCTCCAGAACCTGCCTGTAAAAGGTGATGAGGGACCCCTGTGCTTCACTCAGTGGGGAGTTATTAACAGCTGTGGGTGACATGCTGGGAGGAAGGTGGCTATTTGTTAGCAATGTCCCATTTCTCCTTGTCCCTCAGCTCCACTGAGGATGCTGCTGTAAATCAGGGATTGTGATTGTCTGAAAGGGCTCCACGTGTCCAGGGAAGCCATTTTAGCCGGTGGGGTTTGATGTTGTCTGGAGCATCATCCTCTGGTCAGCAGCGCTGTGTGGGCTGTTTGCAGCTCCCTAGGTCAGGAGCAGCTGTGTCAGATTGTGTTTACTGTAGAAACAAGCAGCCTGGCTGCTCTGGAGGTGGGAGAAGTCAGGTGCTGACTCTGCTCCTCATCCCAAAAGGCACTGGAGGAGAGCATGATCCAGGTGGAAACTGCAGGTCCCAGTGAGAAGGCACCCAGGGCGGTAGGTAAGGCTCTGCATGCCTCTTGGCTTTATTTATTTGCATAGTGTTGGCTTGCTGGTGCAAAAACTGGTCACAGCATGTGTGTAGGAGCATATCCTTGCTGTTCCTCCCAGGTGTATGTGAAGAACCAGATGGGCTATCTGTGGTTGGAGCTCCTTGCTTTGATGTTTGGTTGCTTCCTTTTGACTACACTTGTTTTGTCCACCTCAGTTTCCTGTTTGTGCTTACCTGGAAACTTGTAGTGCCTCTTTTTGTTGCTGTAACAACTCATTTTAGCTAGGGGAGTGTATATGTGGAGTTGTCTGGGTGGAAGAGAGGTATTGAGAGGTCAGGTAATACAACTGATGTCGAAAGAAAGGTCCAGCTACTATGTGCATGTGTTTCCTAATGCCTAGCGACAGCCCCAGAGCTGCTTTTGTTTCTCTGAATTGGGTTTATGCATCTATTCCCATTTCACTTGGACTTTGTGGTCACTGGAGTAGCACTGGGCAGCTGCAGCTCGCATGGTTCTTACATATGAAATCTTAAGTTAGGGAGAGAATTCCTGGGCATTTTCAGGTGGAACTGGATATGCCAGGCCAAGGTTGGAGCTCCTGGAGTTGTAAAATGTCAGAGGTTTCGCATGAAAGCAAGCAGTAAGTTATGGGTGCTGTGTCAGGTTAAAACAAGACAAGCCCCCCAGACCACTGCTATCCACATTCTGACAATGGCAGCAAGTAAGAATTGAGCTCATGATTGTGAAACTGAGGCAGTGAGTGACCAAGATCACACATGAGATCACCGAAAGAGCTTGGAGTGTTGTCTAAGGATTTTGGGTGCGACCTC